GCCCGAACGGAACCTGGGTACTCGAATAATATCTGAGCAGTGATCCAAGTGTATCAGTGGGTAGGTATATATGTAGTTTAGAAGCTCAGCTCTTCTCTTTTGCTCAGACCAGATTCTTTTCCGAGCTCATCAATCTGGATTACGGTACTGGGCAAGACTTTAGTGAAATTTGCGGCTACAATGACTCGTATGGGGCAACCTGCTTGAGCCTTTGCTCAGCTAGTTCTCCAAATCGCGTCAGTGTCAAAAATGGGGTACCATTTTATCCAGACGTGTCGAGCACCTGAAGAGCAAGGGAATTTTCACAAATTTGTCTATCCAACTTCAGCAAAGCGATGAATACGTAGCGAGAATCGAGCGGCCTGGTGGTGAACCCGTATGGGCACTTCGCTTCTGTGCTCCTCGAACGGTCGACGATGCTTCGAGAAGATTCTACGACAATGAGTAAGTCAAATTTTATTCCTTTACAAAGATTTCTGGTCCATTTTTTCAGACCCGCGTCGGAAGTGCTTGTAGTCACCGATTGGAGTCGCAGAGTCGGTTTCTACGATTCTGAGGGTAACTCGATCAAAAGGGACGATATGGAGCTGGACTACGATCCAACTTGTGTGGAATTTATTCCTAGTGGGCAATTTTTGCTCATCGGAGGATCGGGACGACAAGTTACCTTACACACGAGGATGGGTAAGAAGAAGTGGCTTCTCCTGCTTAACTTCGAAATTCCCATCTCAGGAACCGAGATAGGTACCGTAGCCCAGATGGACACATGGGTATGGTGTATCCGTGTGAGACCCGTGTCGAATCCAAGTACAGTGGTTGTTGGTTGTGTGGATGGGACCATTGCTTGCTATAATCTCATGTTCAGTACTATACATGGTCTGCATAAGGAAAGATACGCTTTCAGGTAGGTCAAAATTTGCTCTAGAATTTTGAATATCCTAAAAATCCTAGTTTCTGGTAAGTCCAGGTAAACTGGTACCTGGGTATCTCATAGGGATCTTTAGCTAGCAATCGTTCACGCAAAGATCGTAAGATTCATTCGCTGCGCGAAAAGCTACTTCTAAGTCTCGCCTACCGT